TTGTTGTTGTTGCTGTTGCTGTTGCTGTTGCTGTTGCTGTTGCTTTTGTTGTTGTTGCTGTTGCTGTTGCTGTTGCTGTTGCTGTTGCTGTTGCTGTTGCTGTTGCTGTTGCTGTTGCTGTTGCTGTTGCTTGTGTTGTTGTTGTTGTTGTTGTTGTTGTTGTTGTTGTTGTTGTTGTTGTTGTTGTTGTTGTTGTTGTTGTTGTTGTTGTTGTTGTTGCTGTTGTTGTCGCTGTCGTGAACCTTTTGCTAAGGCTGCTGCTGCTGCTGCTGCTGCTGCTGCTGCTGCTGTTTCTGCTCTTGCTGGTGCTCTTTCCGCTGCTGTTGCTATTGCACGAGGGGGACAACTGTGTTCTTACAGGTGGGGGGTGAGGGGGGGGGGGGGGTAACGACGTTCTGTCATTCAAGATGGTGGCCTGTGGGATTGTTCCATGCGCCATCAATCCACCACTCTTGATGCTGCAGTTCTCCGTAGTGATACCTGCGCCAGGACGAAAGTTCGTCGCATCGGGTAGGTCTGTTAACATATACTTGCAAACCCCGTTCCCCCGTAGACTCCTTCACGAAGTCTCGATGTGAGGCCCGGACGTCACGAATTCCTCCGTCGGAACAAAATAATAGTAGATGTTTATTTTGGCATCGAAATTCCTCCGCTGGCCAGGCCACGTAAAACGCACTTTCTGGTACTCCGAGTCCTCCGCCAAACAATACATCTTAGTGCGACAAAACTTTCATCCTGCTGATGTATTTGAAAACGTCTGGTTTGTGAAGATCTCTGCCTGATGAGGGGTTGGGGGGGAGGGGGGGTTGGGGGGTCGGGGCGGTGGGGGGATGCGTCCCGATTGTAGGCTTCATAGTGGATGCATGTGGATGCTAATGCTGTGCGGTGGGGGGCTGTTGGGGAGGGGGGAGGGGGGAATGACGTCCGGTGTGTAGTCTTCATGGTGACGTGGTACTTTCGGCATGTTAACCACAGCTATTTTCAGCAGTCTAGAACTTCTCGACCAAGAGCCTGCCCAGGCCGCAAACGCGACCTGTGTGTCCAAATCTCAATCTTTAGGAGTTCCCAAACTTGAAACTTAAGCGTAAAAAGCAAACATGCCATCAACAAATCTAAGAGGAAGGCTGTTGTTTGCTGTGGCAGGCGCGGTAGATTCGATCGAAACGGAATCAGCTTTGAAGGGTCCCATACTGCCCCCTCGAGGTTGTATGTGGATGCTGCCGCATCTACAACTGTTTACAGATAAGTAAGTGGCAATCGAGGCCGCCAGCCTGCAAATACCTGCAATCCCTCAGCCCAGACTGACGTATCACCAAGATTCGAATCATTTGTCCCTACCTATCCCGCATGAATCAGCATATCCAAATTCCCCCGCTTGGTTCGATCCTGCTGGCTCTTGCGTCAATAAATGGAGTTTAGACCCCCGTATCCAGACCGGGTGTATAGGACCTGAACATCCGAACCCATCTAGTCGCCGAAAGTGTGTTGTGATCACTGTGCGTTTTCACTGCAATTTTTCTTCAAGGCTTAAGGCAATTGAAATTCAGGTACCCCACAAAAAAGGCATACAGGGATGCATTGAAAGCATGAGTGTGAGTGTTCATTGTGAGTACCGGTGATGACCAGGGTCGCAGTCTCTGTCTGTCTCTCTCTGAGCAAAGCTGCGGGCGTGGTTCAATCATACACCACTACCAACTGGAGGTTCAAGTTTTTCAGCAAGTTTTGCTAACGTGTTGAAGTCCTGTCATGGTCTTAATAGTCTTAGTTGTGAATTAGTTTGTTTGATTTTGTCCGTTTGTTGTCCAGCTTGCGTGTTGCAGACTGCCCAAGTGAAGATGTGAAGTTACCCCCGACCGAAGTTGTTCTTGTTATAAAGGGCCCAAATGCCCTGAACCATAGAAACGAGACGATGACGGTGAACTCACGGGTCGGTGTCCGCATAACCTTACAAACTCTGACGCCGCATCACATACATGGCAGATCACAGCACACCATCGGACATAGGATACCACAGCATGGCAAGCCAGGGCACGCCATGACCTGACAGGATGTTGACATTGAAATGGCATGCAGTGGCGTGGCGTAGCATGACAAGACGGGACCAGACAAGAAAAGACAGCGCATGCCGTACCGTCACACGTACAAGACTGCACGACGCAGCATACCGGCAGCATGTCTCCAATGTACATGCATAGTCGTTATTAGTTATATAGCTGATTCTTGCTTAGTTTCACGCCTACATACATCCACACGAATGCAAACAGGCTACGCACTTGGCTTTCACTCTTCTCTCGAAGACAAAACTGTTATGCAGCGCGGTAACAACAACACTGGCAAGGTGCCCTCGACCCGCATGCTGCCTTGGTACGAAGGCGAGAATTGCTGGTTGACGTTCCATGTTTCTCCCGTTGCCGGCTCCGGAAATCTGTAGTGACGTCGCCCATTCCCATGTCGGCGTCCAATCGTGCAGACTTGGCTTGTCGGCCTTTGTTTTGATGGTGATACCGAACATCAATACTCTGATGTTGATGAAGTTGGTGCTTTTGTTCACTGGCGATCGTCACAGGATACTTTATGGGCGATATTGCGATACTGAAAGTCGTCATGTCGCGATTGATAGTGGTGGGGACTGTTGCTGGTGGTGGTGGTGGTGGTGGTGGTGGTGGTGGTCGTGATGACGACCATGGTGCTGATTGTGACGGTGATCATGATGTTGGTGGTGATGCTGTTGAGGAGAAGGACACGATGAAGGCTTATGATTATATGCTGTCGTTTCCGGTCGTGGGTGCGCGAGACAAGGTCCTCTTCAATTGGTGGTTCGAGATCGGACAGTTTCCTTTCCCAAGCCAGACTGGCTGCTGGGTAGGCCTCCTGGTCTTGCAAGAGCTCGAGGCGCAGCGGCGCTGCTGGACTCTGCCAGTGTCGCATGTTTCAGACGCCATCCTTCCCGAATTGGGGGTGGCTCTTGGGCCGTGCTGAATTTGGAATTTTGATGGTGTTACGGATACAAAGTTGTAGCCTGGATCTTCACATCCCAGTGCTGTTGCGAAGTTCCACCAGAAGCGCGATGTGACGCAAATGCGACTGTCTGACCTGTGCCTGCACGCGCCGAATGGGCGCGACCATTCAGACGAGACCTCCCAACTGGACACAAGGTTCGGGTAGCTATTGTTTGGCCTGGACATAATGAACAGTGATATTGTCCAGAAAGACCTGCCTCGACACTGGTGTGAAGATTGTTCCTTCTTGGTGGGATCATTGAAAGGATGTTCTCGAGATTTTGACGTCTCATCTGGAACGCAGTGCCGAATGCAGTGCCTTCGGTATTGGAGACAGTTTTGGGGTTGGTTGCATTCTCGTAGGCGCTGCATAAATGCTCTACAAAACTCCAACATAAATCAAGCTGTCTCGACTTGGGCAATATCAGCCAAGAACCGAACCTGTTTCACTATTGCTCATCTTGCCCGCCTACTTCGTTGACCCCACGTGAAAACATGTTGCCATCCTCATCCGCAGAGATGTTGCGGATTGACGCATTTTTTGTGTCCAAGCTTTGCACCCGAACCTCAGCAGCCCCGTGCATGTGGGACCGACACTCGCAACTGACGCAGGTGAACAGGCATGAGAAATTCCGCTTCTTTCGACTTCTCCTGAGCACCAGATCGGACTGAATCGCACAGTGCGAGTGCATGTTGCTTTGCCACGGAGGCGAAAAGTGATGCTGCTGGGGTCACTTGGTTTGACGACCGGTGCCGCAACCTCCTGATGCAGGTCACTCGGCTATTCAGGGGCTCGGCAGGTCTGGAAACTTCGAGTTCCTTCTGCGACGGATCCGCGGCCACAAAACAGAACAGAATGAGAAACACGGTCATTAGTAGTATAGTTGCAGTAGCATCGCAGTACAGAGTGGAATTTATAACCTGACCTGCGAATCAAAATTAGCAGGATCTGGCCGAAGTCCTGAAGTGTAGTGCAGCCGAAAATATTTGGGTGGGGGGTGTGGCAGAAGAACCATCATTTTTCCGGGGCGCAAAATTCAATTTGTTGAGGCCGCACAGATCCATTTTGATGTTTCCGGGTACTACTTGCTACTGCTACAACTATCCCTTCTACTACAACAACCATTACTACTGCTGCTACTACTAAGTTACTACTACCACTACTACTACCCCTACTCCTGCAGCTACTGTTACTGCTACTGTTACTGCTACGGCTGCTACTGCTGCTGCTACTGCTGCTGCCACTGCCACTGCCGCTGCCACTACTTCTACCACCACCAGCACTACTACTACTGCTGCTGCCACTACTACTACCACCAATACGGCTACTACTAACTACAACAACAGCTACTACTACTGCTACTACTACGGCTGCTGCTACTACCACTACGACTGCTGCTACTGCTACTGCGGGCTGCTACTACTACTACTACTACCACAACTACTACTACTACTACTACTACTACTACTACTACTACTACTACTACTACTACTACTAATTACTACTACTAATTACTACTACTACTACTACTACTACTACTACTACTACTACTACTACTGCTACTGCTACTGCTGCCACTACTACTCCTACTCCGACTGCTACTACTACTACTACTACTACTACTACTACTACTACTGCCACCACTACTACTACTACTACTACTACTACTACTACTACTACTACTGCTACTGCTACTACTACTACTACTACTACTACTACTTCTGCTACCACTCATGCAGGATGATGCTCATATTCACATGAGTAGCAACAAGTCGTTTCATGACATGTCAGTATGTGGGCTCGTGCCGGCCTAGTGGGGGTTTGGGAAGGGCGTCTCCGGGGAGAGAGATCATTTTGTTTTTCTGCGGGTAACCTTTAACCGTTTCAGGGTACGAAGCCCTATGACAGCCCCATCGGAAAGCCTTTCTTCGAGGGTGCCCGGAGATGGAGGCCTCATAAGGACGGTTCTTCTGTAAGTGCAAGGAGCGCAAGAAGCGCGGGCCGTGGCCTCAGCTTTGGACCTGGTCCTGGTAGTTACTGCGGGATCTCGTGCAGCTTCCTCACAAAGCCCGGGCCTACTTTGCAAGTATCAAGTTTTGTACATGCACGTCGGATCTGTGTATATATATATACACACAACTGCATATGCATTCATGCATCCACCGTGCACACGTACCTGCATACATGCCTGCGCACTTTCGAGCATGCATACAAGCGCACATTTAAACCTACATACATGAGCCATACACACATGCGTACATATATGCATGCCTACATTTATGCACATATATGTATGTATATGCTACCCCCCTGCAGAATCTATGTTGTTTTTGCTCTTTGCTGCTCTTTTACGGCTTAGGCAGTCTACCAACGATGTCAGACCTCATGCGACTGCCTACGTATATACTTGTGTGTGTATATATACATGTATGCCACCACCGCCCCACCTCCCTGAACACCAACAGACCCATGCATCTCGACCTGTTCGCAGCAGCTGCTGCTGCTACTGTGCCTGCTCATACTATTGCCATTGAGATGGTAACCCCCCAGGACCAATCTCGACCATGTGACTGCCGTCTTGTTGCAGCTAGGAGCCGAAAGCACTGTAGATACCGATAGATTCTGTACCGGCCTACTGTTTGTGGGCATCATAACACAGTACTACTAGTACCACTATCAAAATGCTACTGCTACTACTACTCCTCCTCCTCCTCCTCCTGCTCCTGCTGCTGCTGCTGCTGCTGCTAATGCTACCATTACTCGTGCTACGAGTTCTAATTTCTTCTAAATCCCAATCTTCACAATATTACTCTTAACATTGGTGTCATGGTATTAGATAAATTCTTACCACTTGTTCAAGTCTTATCAAGATGGTTGTATCAAACCACCACAAAAGCGATAACACTACTACTACTACTACTACTACTACTACTACTACTACTACTACTAGTACTGCTACTACTACTGCTGCTACTACTACTGCTACTACTACTACTACTGCTACTGCTACTGCTACTGCTACTACTACTACTACTACTACTACAACCACCAGCTACTACGAGTACTAACCGAACATGAATATTAATAACGTTCAGGCTCTGGTCTTGATCCTGGTGTACTACTACCACCTTGCCCTTATGCTAGTATCCAAACTCGTGCAAAAATACCTTAAGCCATCTTTCATTCTCTCATAAGGCCAAGAATACGTTCCGTTTTGGTTATTTTTGTGGAACTAATGAAACAACATTAAGGCATTCTTTCACGTACAAATTCTATTTCAGGTACCCAGCAGATTCAGTCATTTAACATTGTACACTGAATCTTAAGCATCCCGTTTATCATCCTCTTGCGTCAGGACTTGTGCAAACGGATAGACGACATTAAACAGTCAGTGAGACTGACAGCCAAGAACACCTTCTCTAAGAAAGCAGTTGCAAACCGTGGTAGTGGTTGTAAGTTGTAAGTGTTGTACAATTTCACATGACAACCAGACTAAGTTTCAGTCCAGTAAGTTTATCAACATAACAGACATCTAAATATCACTAAATACCTACAAAAAAGTTTGAAACACAAATCGATGTCATTGTTACTTTTGATATATGTCATCTCTTGATCCCCCAGGTGAGCAAATTGCTTTCTCAGATGCACTGCTGTGATTCAAGGTTTCGGAGTGAGTCAATGAGTTAGGTTTTGAAAATGGACCCAGCTTTCAGCGAGGCGGCAAAGCATAAGTCCTCTGTAAATTAGATTGCTCGTAGGGCGCAAAAAGACATTCTGCACGGCGCGGGTCACTCAGCAAATTCTCTTTGGAAGTCTCCCAAAGACTGCCTTTTTGGAAACAGTACAGCACTTTAGCTATATTCTTGCACAAAAAGTCCTGTACGGTCCCAAAAAAGCCAATCTTTTGCCAACGTGCTGTACTGTCACAAAAAACCAATTCTGCCCAGTCTTTCAGGCTAGATCCCCAGGCCTCCAAAAAGATGGTGTTTTGGGGACAGTGCAGCACTTTTTGCAAGAAACTAACAGAAAAAAATGTTTTTGCAAGAGTGCTGTACGGTCCCAAACAAGCCCAAACACAATCTTTGCAGGTTCGGGGGGCAAGGTGGCCGCTGGTTTCTTTGGTTTTGAGGGTGCTGCAGACATGCACATGCACACTGACACAGGAGCCGTGGAGATAACAAAACCAAGAAGGGCAAAGGACCCCATTGAATGTAGAAATGCAGTGAGCTTTAATATGGTGGATCCAGGATCCAAGATCCAAGATTGCACGGGATTCCTCGGAGGAATCTTGGACTCAGGGAGGGCTACATTGAAATATTGAAGCATATTGAGCTTCAATATGGCGGATCCAAGATCCAAGATTGCACGGGTTGGATTCAGGGAGGGCCATCTTGAAATATTGAAGCCAAATTAAATTTCAATATAGCGGATCGAAGATCCGTGATCCAGGATTGAATCTTGGATCTTGGATCCGCCATATTGAAACTCAACGTGGCTCAATATTTCAATGTGGTCCTTCGCGGGCCATATTGAAAAATTGGGCAGCAGTGGGTTTAAATGTGGTCTGTTCGTGCAGACATTAGGAGATGATCTGAGACACATGAGGAGATGCTCGTGAGGGGGAAAGAGCTGAAAACAGACAAACTACAGGGGGTGCAATACACACACACACACACACATATATATATATGTGTATCTATATGTATATACTCATGTGTCGAGTTCCTGCCTGTCTGAAGCTCTCGCCTGTGGAAGAATGTTGGTAAAACCGACCTTTCTCACATTTTCATGAATTTCCAAAAGCTTCGGGGAGCCGGAACCATAGCTTGGAGGATGCTGGGAACTGTTGGAAATGTGGGTGCATTCAACACTTTGCATGATCGAACTGTGGAAAAATGTGGGTAAACCTGTCATAAACAATTCTCATGCATTTCGAGAAACCTCGGAAGCCTGAGCCATATTTTGAAACGTTGGTAGAACTAGCGGGTCCATGACCGACCTGTGGAAAACTTTGGTTTTGCCAATCTGTTCCATGAAGTCCGGGAAACCACGGGGGTCAGAGTTTTTATTCAGCTTTGAGTTCTGAAACCTCCGGAGCCAGAAGCACACTACATCCTAAACTTCGAAACTTCCGCAGCCACAGGCCAAATAAAATAAAGAAATCTGTCCCAGTGACGCAAAAAGACCAAGAGACACAATATATACATATGTGGCATGGACCTTTAGGGTCTATTTGGCAATCCTGCTGGGCTTTGTATTTAAACTGCAACAACACCACGGCGACAAGGACGACGACGACTCGGTTTAGCACGACGACGACTGGGTTCAACACGGCGACGACAAGGTCTGGCATGACGGTTACATCGGGAGGCCGAAGCGTGTACAGTGTAAAGGTCTCGACAGGAGTTTAAGGGTCTAGGGTCTTAGCTCCTAACTATGGTTTACCGGGGTCAGTATACTATGGAAGATCTAAAGTTTGGAGTTTATGAGGATTTAGATGGTTTTACGCTCTCACAAGTTCTCCGTGCTGGTTTTAGGGTCTATCACAGTCTATCACAATGTCCTCCCGTCCCTCTCGCGCCGGGAACCATCAAGAATCTGTCTTGTGTATTTCTCGTCCTGTGTCTTTCTCTCATTCCCGTTCCTCTTCCTGCCTATCCACTCTGCCGTTTGTCAAGAAGACACAGAAATTGAAGTCATGACAGAGGAATAGGCATGAAGATGGACGAAGTGAACTCTTCATTCTCTCGTCTCTCCCTTCTCTCCTTCCTTTGAGTGATCCTTTTTCTGTTTCTTTTCTTGTCGCCTTCTGCTGTCAATGACAGGGGTAACACGAGGGAGGGGCAAAGGGACGACGTCAGTTCCTCTCGACGTGGTTCGTTTTTTCATTTCCTCTCGCGTTGTCTCTCTTCCGCTCTCTCTCTCTCTCTCTCTCTCTCTCTTTTTCTCGCTCTGTCTTCCTCTCTGCCGTGTCTCGCTCTCTCATCTCTTCTGTCCCCTCTTTCCTTGCTCCCTTGCTGGAAGGAATAGAAAACAGAAGCGAAGACATAAGATGGAGGAAGATGGTTGGGAGAAGGAAGATGGATTCCTCCCTCACTCGGCTCTTTGACTTTCTTTGCCCTTGCCTTCTTTTCTCTGCTCCTATCCTTCTTCACAATTAGAAGGAGAAGCGACAAGAACGGAGAGCTCAGGGAGAGCAAGTGACACTGTTCCTCATAATCTCCTCCTTCATCGTGTTCATTGCGTTGTCCATCTCCCCCTCTCTCTCTCTCTCTCTCTCTCTCTCTCTCTCTCTCTCTCTCTCTCCCTCCATCCTTTCCTCTCTACTTCTGCACATTTACTTTTCCACTTCTCTCGCCTACTACATTATGCTTGATTTGATACTTATCTTCAACTTTCTCTCACTCTCTTTGTCCCATCGCTTGCCCTGTTCCTTCTCCTCCTCCCTTCCCTGCCTCCCGTCCTTCTCCCCTTATCACTCAGAAGGAAGAAGGAAGACTCACAAGGAGAAAGACAAGGGAGTAAGAAAACATACAAAAGAAACGGAGAGAGAGCCATATGGGACGAAATACAGAAACAAAGAGAGAAAATATGGGGGAAAGATAATCAAAAAGAGAGACAGAAAGAGGAGGCGATGCATCAAGCAGCCGACAGTGCCTTGACCTCCACGTCTATTCATTCTTTGTTCTTGTCCTATCACACTGTCTCATTGGTGATAAACCAGGAAGAGCTTGTGGAGGGAGACGAGGAAGAAGTGTTCTCCTCTTCACTCACCTTGTGCCCTTCCTCTCCCACCGCTCGCCCGCTCTCCTTTCTTTGATTTTCTTGTCTGGCGGAAAAGTGGGAACCAGGAAGGAAAGTGGACAAGGGAAAGGACGAGATTGAGAAATGACAGAAAGAAGAGAGATACAGAGAGAGCGAGGGAGAGCTTCAAGCCCAGCAGAGGAAGAAGAGAGAGGAAGATAAGAGAAGGGGGCAAGGGGTGGCCAGAAGAAGCGTA